TTTAATATTTGCTACACATAAGCAACATTGGTAACCTTCAACAACTCAATCAATACTAATTTCCTTTCTAAATTTTATATAATTATTTTTCCTAGGTCCCCCCACCCCCTAACCCTGATTTTATTGCCATTCATTCTTACATTATAAAACAACCAATTTCGGAAAAAGGGGGTCTAAGGGATATACCTTTAGAACACAAATATGGTCTTCAAAATGGTCTTAGTTGGTTTTAATCTCTGCTGTAAAGGTATTGCAGCATGACGAATCTTCGTGTTTCAATGCAGAACAATCCTCAATAAGGCAGGAAATAAGTAATTGAAAATATAGACATTGCAGTGTTATTATAAAATTATGAACAGCAAACTCAGTATCTGTGTCGACAATCTGCCTGTATGTTAATCAAATAGATCTATAAACATTTCTCCATTAGTTTCCTGCTCATTACAATACATGTTCGTGTTGTTTGTGAGACAGACTTGTCTGAATCTCACTGAACTTGGCATGTCAGTGCATACCCACATGCAATGTCAGATAGAGGTCATCTACTTCATCAATGTTGTACCTGTTAGTTCCTCTGCTGTTTAACACTCCTTTAGAATGTCTGTAAAAGTGTTTGGTCGTTGACTAATACAAATGTTTTCATTTCCCTCAGAAGGCCCCTGGATAACAAACTGTGAAACAATTCAGAGGAGAAAAACAACGCCTGATTTTGCACGTTTGTGAAATGGTGCCCAGGTTAGCTGTTGTGATGTATAGATCTGAACTTGATCATGTTTTTTAAAAAAGTTTACAGAAAAACAACAATGCTGCTTTTTAGCCATTGACTAATGCACTAGTTTTCAATCTTTTCTTCCCCAAAAAACATTTTGAAGTTACAGTCCCCTTAGTGATGTCTGTTACCAGTAAGTGCAAATATGCTATATCCCTGTACTATTCAAGGCTTTGGCAAGAAAGACATCCGTTTTGACAACAAACAAATGGAGAAATATTTAGCCTTGGTAAATAAGTTATTCAGTTTTCTGTGTCACAATACATGTCTGTTACATTTGTGTACTAAATTATCACGTATTGACAGATCTTAGTAAATCAGTTTCACAATGTCTGTTTTCCCTTTGCTCAAGTGCCTTACAAACTTACAATGATTCGGAATAAAACTGTGATATTTTCCAGAACTTATGTGACTTGATGCTAACATATTTATAGAGTACAAACCATAACATTAACACCCCTCTTACTTATAAATAATTGCTCTACAGTTATATAGTACAGTAGTAATACTTGTGTTTGTGGGTTTGTACTTCGTAGTGTATATATAAGGGGAGGCTACTCATTTCTGTTGAAGTTATATAATACATGTACTAGGAATGTGATTTAGTACTTATTCGATAACACATGCACATGTTAATACTATTACCAGGAGTGAAAATTGTTTTCTGAACTGTTACCAGTAAATTGTAGCTGGTTGGTAGCATGCACCTTAAAATAGCAATTTGCACTTTTATAAGCCTTTTGTGTAAGTAAAATACAATTACCAGTTTATATTTTACCATTTTTGTTGCAAGTAGTCAGTTCTGTTCATGTGGTTAAACAAGAGCTGTTAAAATTTCTTTTTTTTCAAACTGTCAAAGGAGATCTAAGATAAGGTCAACTCAAACATTATGATAGCTTACAATTTTTACAAATGTCTTTTGAAAAAGACTTGACACTATTCTTTATGGAAAAAAGTTTCAAGTATTTTTTCAATTTAGTACAGAAAAAAAAATGCAAATATTAATGGGCTACAAATACAAAAAAGAGAGAAAACTCTTAAAAAGTGAGAAATTGCTTTGATGCACATGTTCATTTGTAGTATACTAATATAAGCTTTATGACCGAAAAAAAAAAAAAAAAAAAATCCAACACAAAAGAAATAGGCAAATTTGAAATAAAATTGAAAATTGTATTTGTTTATCATGTTTAATGTACAAATGTACTTGTAGAGTGTAAACAGCAAAATACAAAAATCAATTGTTGTGTAAATTTTATTGATTTCATTGTTATAAATCTTTTGTGGTATTAACCTTTGTTATGTAAAGAAATTGTACTTTTGAAAATTGAATTTGGTGCCATTAGGAAAATAATTGTTATCAATAAGAATGTATACAAAGGCAAATTAAGCCATTTTTCAATGTCAAGTTGATAATCACAGTAGTGGGAAAAGGCAAATGGACATGTACTTTTAGCAGCAATAAAACATGTCATAAACAAATGTCCTTGTAGCAACTGATGTTGATGTTAAGTGCAAAAGGAAGTCTCCTGTGGTAAGGAGAGTTTAGTGTGAGTGATAATTAGTTTTATGGTAAATGATTATTTAGATTGCGTCAGTGCATATCACTTTGAAGAAGGAGTACTTTGGCAGTCAATAGTTGAAAAAAAAAATATTTAAAATGGAGGAATCTTCGAAAAATTTAAGAAGCTTAAAACAATGGTAAATGCTTCAGTAAAAATGTTAAACTTTTATTTTTTTTTATTTTTTGGTGCTATGAGAGAATTAGTGTTGAAGTATAGAAAGGGGAAAATGACTGCTAACTGAAAAATATTCAGATATAATGAATAAAAAAAAAATATAACTCTATTTTTCATGGTAATTATTTTACTTTTTTTACAACCGGAAATGTTTGTTGTCGTATAATGTTATGACGTTGTCAGCGTCGTCGTCCTTAAAGATATTTGGTTTCCCGACAATAACTTGAGTATAAGTGTATGGATTTCTATTGAATTGTACTACAACAAAGGTTCCATACCACAAAAAGAAGGTTGGGATTGATTTTTGGGGGTATGGCCCAAACCAGTTAGGAAAAAGCGGCCTAAACACTAGGATTTTCTAGTTTCCAGACAATAACCTGAGTATAAGTCTATGGATCTCTATGAAATTGTACATCAAGGTTCCATACCATAAAAGGAAGGTTGGGATTGATTTTGGGGGTTACAGCCTTACCTGTTTAGGAAAAAGGGTTTGATATTCTCTTGTATAACTATAGTGGCAAAGTTAAAATATTTTTACGATAAATGCCATAATGAAAGGCTAGAAAGGGCCAAAAAAGTATGCATGAACACATATATTCAGTTGGTTAACAATAATGGGTTCAGACTAGATTGCAAAATGATTCTTTTTCTTGTTTGATGGCATTAGTGAACAAAGTACAACCACCTGTTTAAATTACACTACCATCCAGCTTATGTGGACTCAGTTCATTTCCTCCTATCCATAGTGGACTTGGCAGAGTGGACAAAGTCTTAAGGTGTTCCTCTTTGTCCACCCTATGGAGTGACCTTGATATTTCTTTGATCTTGCATCCTCTCTGTCCACCCTATGGAATGAACATTAAATTTCTGCTTTATCAACATTTTTTACCTTGAAAAAATAATTTAAGCTTTTGTATTCATTTCTTCTATAAAAAAACAAGCAATTCAGGTTAAATTTGATTGAACTGGAGTTGGCTGTCCTTTTGGGAGCAGGTGGAAACCACAAGCTCCACCTGAGTAGTACTGTAGATTATTTAGATAACATTTATTATGAGGAAGCATTTCATTTTGCCACTCTGTAGACTGATTTCTGTGACCTTGTGCATACACTTGACCTGTAGTTAACCAATGATAATGCTGTAATTAAATAAGATCTGTATCATAGCGATTATAAGTTTGTTTTCTTCATTTTATTTTCTTAAATAAAAAAAATAAGTTTTTTATCTCTGATGTATATAAATCATACTACTCATTTTTTTCACAAAACCATTTGTAAAACAAACAAAAACAAAATGAAGGATGAATCTCTAAAGACTTTTGATGATAAGCAATGCATCAGTTTTTTCATCTCTCGGTAAGATTGGGTAATTTTTTGACAGGTGCTATGTAAACTCCAGGTGGTTTGAGAAAACTTTCTCACGGAGATACATCTCTGTTACTATAGATAGAACGCCTGCAGAACATATTAACTGATGGCACAGGGCCGAGAGTCGTTAGGTTTTATGATGTAATATTAGAGAGCTGTTAATAGTGCTCTAATAACTAACATATTTCCAAAATGATTTACTCGTAATTTACAATAATGATTTTATCTCTATTAATCTTCCCGTTATTAATCCTTGTAGAATTTCTCTGAATCATTTCATAAATCCGTCTCAGTAAATTTCTTGTTGAAATGTTGCCAGACAAACTGTTTTATGCTAAATTCCGCAGGATGAACAATTTTCTGTACTCTGTGTTTTATTGTTATGCTAAAAAAAAAAATAGCAAAAATGAAGATTTTTTTTTCTATTTTCATTTTTTTCATTATTATCAAGAGCTAACAGACATTCATAGAAAAAGTTTTGTCATAAAAGATATCATTCACTGTTACATTGAAATACAGCATGAGCAAACGATTCTGTTGATGTATACATTTACTATCAGTAGAGGCATGGAAGTATTATATTTACAAATGTTTGACAAATATAGTTTTTTTTTTTTTTTTTTTTTTTTTAATTTTAATATTTTATTTATTTATTTATTTTTATTTACTTCCATGGTAGTGGTAACATAAATGTTGTTGTTTATCATGTTGAAACTGTTTTTACTGTGGATTCATTATGATGTGGTGTAACGGTTCTATTTTCATGGATTTCATGAGTAGAGTTGCACCATGCATTTAAGCATTCAACATTATAAAACAAATTGTAGATATGTATACACAACAGGGGCGGATTCAGGCGGGGTGTGGATCCTGGATCCGCCCTTGCAAAATCTATTAAAACCATTAAATCAAGAATCAACAGATTTGTCTCAATCCACGATAATTGGAATAAATGAAAAGAGTTAAAAAAACAAAAAAAAACACAAATTTGTGGAATAAATTAATTACAGATGTCAAAGCAATGACACACCCACGCCAAATGTTACTGCAACATTTTTAGGATCATGTAATGCTACTAATGTATCAATTTTTGCATGTGACTTTTAATATTCTTTATTTTCTGTTTCAGACTGTGAATGCAAATAGCAAATCTGCCAAATCAGATCCTGGAATGTTTACATTTAAATCCATCAGTAGTAATTCTTACAGTTCCATGACACCTGTGGAAGAACCATCATGTGCATACTGAACATTATGAAGTTCAGGATTATCATAATGTCAAATGATCAAGTTCAGGATCAGAGACTGAAAAATGGCTTGTGATAGAGTTCAAGATCAGATAAAAACTAAAACATTTACTCCTTCAATGAACAAATGTGTTATTTATTAACTATTTATTTGTTATTTGTCTTGTGTACAGAGGAGGACAATATTTAGTGATAGTTTTAATTTTTTCAAATCACAAGATAATCATAGCATCATTACAAGTATCATATGACTGATCATGAGGAAGGTCAAGTGTTCTCTTTTCAAAAATTGTAACTGAGTTATCATTAGGGAAATCACATCTGTCTGAGGACCCTAATAGGAGGGAACTTTGGAATAATATGAAAAGCTATTGTTGTGCTGATGAGCACTTAAGGTTTTCACAATCAGAGATGACATTATGGTATTTAAAATTTAATAAACATTAAGTATAATGTATAAGTATAATAACGTATTTTGATACTAGCAAATGTCAATCTTAGATTCTATAATCACAAAGATCTGTTTTCAAGATTTGCTAATGTCACCAAAAAATCTTTTGAATAGAGACATTAAAATCTATTATTGACATTGGGTAGTATAGAAATATGATACATTATTCAATAATTAATAGGCAAAATAATCTTGTAATATTAAGCTCAGGTTTGTGTCTGTTTCAATCTACCTGATAAAAGTGCATCAAGCATTTTTATGTAATGAGGATAGTCTATCTTCCTAAATATTATTATCGCCACGATATAGCCTTGTTGTGCTAATGCGGCGTAAAGCAACCAACAATCAATCAATCAATCCTAAATATTAAATTTTTGAAATGAGAACAGTCAATCTTTCCCATGTGTTACCAAGCAATGCAAAACACATTCTTCTCAAACATTTGTCACTTTATCATTGTCATTTTATCAGCAGTTATGGCTGGCCATACTGCTGCCACCATTGTAATGCATCATAATGAAATGTATGAAAATTAGTGATGGTAGCAAATTTTCTATATGAATCATTTTGTCTCATACCAGGTTCATTAATCGAAGATTCACACATTATTTCCTTGTACATGTACAGCAAATTTAATAATCAAGTCAGATCTATGAAAGCCTAAATAGATTAAGCTTGTAGATATAGTAAGAATAAGTTCCACTGAATGTATGACTATTATTGACTTTTAAAAGATGGTAATTGTCAGTTGTAAGATTTGACAACATGGATTGATTTTTATGCAAGTAAACAAACTGATGAATATATAAAGGCAATGCTGTTTTGACTCAGGTTCTTAAGTGCCATATTTATTAAACAGTAAGTTTCAGGGAAAACAATTTGGACATTTATTACAAAAATAATTGTTGTGACTTTTTCATTAAGGTTTATGGATTGGTGATATTGTATTTGAAAGGCCACACTCAATCATCAGAGTTTTTAACACTTTTGTTATTTGATTAGAAACCTTGTTTTTTAAAACTTGATCTGCTCAGATTTCTGAGGAGGAAATCTTTAGAATGCAACAACAACAAAAATTGGTGTGGCCTGAAGAAGGCTTTTTTTAATCAAGTTTATAAAAAAGGCTTTGAAATGGAAACATTTTCTAGTAAGGCAAAGTGTCATCAGAGTTAACAACTTAATCATAAGAGGGTGACAGAGGGAGTTTGGTGCTATGTGCATGAAAGATAATAAAATAAAACAGATTCGGTATGAGTGAAAAATAACCTTTTTCCTTCACACAGAATAAAAAATTACAATTTACACAATAAAATATCAATGACAATCCTCAGGTCAAATAAAAGAAGACAAACACATGACCAAAATTAACCTTGTGTGTCACAATATTTTATTGACATCAAATAATAACACATTGGTTAATAACTTAAATAGAGATGATATTTTTAAAAAATTTTCCTCAAAATCTAGTTCGATTATTTTTTCTTAAAAAGTTTTAAAATAGTGTAAATAGTAAGAATTGCCAAATTTCTCTATTATTTTTCTCTCTATCTCCCCTCATTTCTCTGTCTTCTTGCTATACCCTCTAATCTCTGTTGCATTTTAACTCTTTCTGATCCAAAAACGAATCATAATATTTTGAGATATAATTTAATGAAAACCAATATCAACCATTTTTCCCTAAAAATTTGCACATCTGCCTCTTATTATGATAACTATACCCTATCTCCTCACAATGGTCTCAGACTCCACCACTAAATTACCAGCTTACTTTACATTATGGCTACTGTATAATGTAGTTGTATCTGACATGGTATAAACTGTATTTTTTGGCTCTGCCTTTATCCCACTGATCTCTAGCTGTGCTAGAAAGTTTTTTTCTCTATTTTTACTGTATTTTCTGCAGTCATGTATATTATCTAGCATTGTATTCTTTCTGAACTTTTCTAGACTTTTTATGTACCCAAATGATCTTTGATGCATCTGTTTTATAAAGAATTTTTGTAAAATATTAGTAAGAGCTGTAAATTTTAGCACTATTATTCTGTATTGATTCATTTGACCAATTTATGCTATAATACTGTTATAACACAAATATTGCTGTAGTGTATTGACAGTTTTATCTTATGACTGTAAGATTTTGGACTTTTTATTCCAGATTGCTGTAAATTTTGGCAGTTAATGTACCCCACTGATCTCAGGTTGAATTTGTGATATTTTATAAAAGGAGAGAGAATTATTTTTATTTCATTCAGGGTTGCTATCGAAATGCAACATTTTGTATAATGTTTTTATTACAATTTGAAAAAGTGGTATAACATTCTCAATTATGATACATGTTTTGAAAATTCAACAATTTGAGGCCACACCAATTTTTTTCATTGTTCTTAGGGATTTGCCATTGTAATTTGTAAAATTTTCTATAAAAAGAATTTGCTCAAATACAAAGAGAATAGTCTGAAAATCTTTGTTTCAAAAATATCTGATAAATTACAAGGGATTATTTGAATCTGGAATAATTTTTAATACTGGCAAATTGATAATAAGTGTATGATGAAAACAAACCCAAAGAATGAGGGTTAGGGGTTAATAAGTTCATACTGAAATATCAGTGAAAGTTTCCGGAACCTTAGCCATGAACCCTCCATAGTTGAATTAGTTTCCATCATACATTAATTTTGCCCTCTTTATTCAAACCCTGGATCTGCCCCCTAATTGTGGCATAATCATGCCTTTTCAATATGAATGTACCTGAATTATAACCATAAGGCTCCAAACCACAATTAATTCCCTTTGTTCATGGTCTAGGAATATAGTTCCAAAGTATTATATGGGGTATTTCTTCCTGAGTATTCTGACTACTGTTTTATTTGAAAAGTTTACAATTTAAGTGGTCCTATCAGTTGCATATATATTGAAATATGTAAAACATGTGGGAAAATTTTATAGTTGAAAGTGAAAGTAGTGGTTTGGCTCAAATGAAAGTAGGGTAGAAATTAGCCTTCAGCATTTATTCAAGGTTCAAATCCTACCATTGGCATGTTAAAAGGGTTCTCGAAAGAAAAAGCAGAAATGGATTGTCCTGGGACAAGCATATTTTATTAGCATAATAATGGTCTATTAGCAGTTTAATTTATTTTATGTTTGTACCGGTGCAAATTTTTAATTCATTTTGACTTTTACAAAGAAATGCATTGTAACCAATGGAGAGAATACTTGTGGTCTGAGGCCATAAGTTCTTTGGAATGTTATTTTCTAGATATTCCGTTAATTTTATTTTTACCTTAAAAAAACAATGATGAACAAAAATATGAAATTGGTGAGGCCTTAATATAGGAAAGTATTTGATAGCTTGTTTACCAAACATAAATTGATGAGGCCTGAATATAAGTAAGAATTTGACAGTTTGTTTACCATACAGTGAAGCTTATAATGGCATGGTAAACTTTTTTGTTTATCTACAAATGAAATTTTTCTTTTATGATAGTTTGTTAATTTTGTGGACAAAGACCACAAGTTTATAAATCTATATGAATAATTGAATTAAAAATCTATAAACAAAGTTGATAATGGGAATTGTTTTGATAGCCCAACAGCTGGCTACTGAGATATTTATCATTTATTGGATCAAGTGCTAAATAGAAAAAATAATGAAAAAAGATTAGCAATTCAAAATTATAAAAAAATATTGGGTAATAAGGTAAAAAATTTACACCAGGTACTGTGTTCAGTTAAAAGTGTCCAATACAATGGAATTTCAACCAATACCAAAAGGCCTTTCATTTTTGCTGTTCAATCACCAGGCATTGTGATTGGTTAATTGTATCCAAAACAAAAGAAATTCAACCAATACCAATGACCTTTCATTTTAATGTGCAATCCACAAAATTTTCTTTGATTCTGAAACAGTAAAGGATAAAATTTAATGTTCAAATGCTTTATATTTACCAATTTTTAAATTTTAAAATTACAGTAAGTTTTCAACACCTTACTAAGAAGTGATATCCATCTTCCAATAATAAACATTGCTCTTTTTATCTGATTTCTAAAACCAATCCTGGAATGATAATAGGCTTTGATCATAGTAGGTGCTTTGTATATCCTGTTTCTTATTGAACACATTGTAAAAAACTGTGATAGACTTGTGCTGTCTGATGTATTTTTCTGTCTGTAAAGATCTTAAATTATTAATTATATTAATTAAAAATTATAATAGATCTTTAAATATTTAATTCACCAAAGGTTAAAGTTGAAATTGACTGGAGAATGCTGATCACCTAGTGATCTAAGAGCATACTTTATTGCTAGAACATTACAGGTTGTTGATCTGTAAGATAAAGAATATTATTATGTTAATATATATTTTTCAGCACATGTTTTGATGAAAGATAGTAGTAATAAAGTTATACTGATATATGTTACACCAGATGAAATTTGCAATTTAGATTTTTTAGATTTCCACATGTACTTACTTCTTCATTCTATTTTATAACAACCTTCATCTTATTAAAATGCAATCAAAGTTCATTTGACACTATTCTTCCTCAATAAGCTTCACTGCATATGAAAGTGAGGCTATAGGTTGACCTTTGTCAGACTCTTCTCTCTGCCAAACAAATATTAATAGACAGATTGATTATTTCAAGGCTAGGTCATTTTCACTTTGAACTTGTTCAATATGAGATTGGCCTCTTACTTTTTTTTTAATCATTGATGGACTCATGTCAATCTTGAGGGGCATCAAAACAAATTAATTTAAATATCTGTATTTTTCAAAGTGAGGCAAAGACCAGGGTTCATAATTTGGACAAGGTTTTATCTTGCAATGCTATGAATGACAAAATATGTTGATATATTTTAGTAAGAAAGGTTAAACTCACATTTATTCATCCTCAGACATAAACAAATACCTGTTGACATCCCCTTTTCAATAACAGTTTTCTCATTGTACATTATATATGCTGGTACCCAGTTTATATTATAAATACTAGCACCCAGTAAAATTACTACTGCTGGTTTCCAGTTAAAGTTAAAATTTCTGGTTTCTAGAATAAGTATGTGTTTAAAGATGCTGGTTCCTAGGAACTTTGTTGATAAGATTAACTCAGCGTTGACAGAGATGACGTGATAGTTGTACTACCTCTAGTATGTATATTTTTGTGAAGAAAGAGAGTGTTGCTATGGTGATTGGACTGATTGTAAAAAATGGCTGATAATGCATTATACAATTTTTGTATTAAAATAAAAGAAATGTTGAATATATATATATTGATTTGTTGTTTTTTTAATTTTAAATATATCCATATTTGAAATGCTACTTGCATATTCAAAGGACTTTGGATAATAGTGTCATTAAAAGGACTAAGCAAAACTATTTCATTTAAATGATTAGACAGGACCTGTCCATCCAAAGAACCTGTAGTTGCTGACATCTTCATCATTTGGTCACTGGTGAATACTGGTCTTATTGGCAATCATACCACATCATCTTTTTTTTTATTGAATAAAACATGTGCATTTAAAGAATAAGACATTATTGCCTCTGTGCCAAAAAAGTGTATGCAAAATCAGCTCTTTTAATTTAATATGATTAAACATATTAAAATTATTTAATGAACTATTCAAATTTTTGTTGTCCTAAAGATGTTATACTAGTAAAACTGGCATTAGCAGATATCTAAACAAACTTAGTTTAGTCAAAGAAAAAGACAAAACTATTTCAAACAATACATAGACATTCAAATGCCTTAAAAATAGTATACCCATGGGACCAAAAGCCTTGTACATATGAAGAAATTGAGACCAAAGAGGATGGACAAATGTCGTACATTTATAGACCTAGTGCATTCAAATGAAAAACAAAATCAGCACACCAAACCCATTCAACCAACACAATCCATTCACACTAGATAATTATAGAGTACTATTGCCTAGGAACATTTAGCTGATGTGAAAAATATATTTCATTTTGAGAATTTGGACAGACTATTATGAAGGAAGCTTGCTTAAAATATAGTCTTTTATTGTTGGCTATTTAAAAAAAAAAACCAATAGATTTCAGCAAAGATTGTACATCTATAGATAAATAAAAAGATAACCACAAAATCTTAAGATATTTTAACCAGACCATTTATCATCACCATGTTGTATGTCTGTTTTAATATACCCACACCATGTGTAGATGTTGGATCAGAAGCATCTGTTTAGTTTAAGATACCCACACAATGCGTAGATGTTGTGTAGTTTCAGAAGCATTTATCAGCATGTTGTATGTCTATTTTGATATACCCACACAATGTGTAGATGTTTAATCAGAAGCATCTGTCTGCTTTAAGATACCCACACAATGTGTAGATGTTGTGTTGGATCAGAAGCATCTGTCTATTTATTATATCCACACAATGTGTAGATGTTGGATCAGAAGCATCTGTTTGGTTTAAGATACCCACACAATGCGTAGATGTGTTGGATCAGAAGCATTTATCAGCATGTTGTATATCTGATTTGATATACCCACACAATGTGTAGATGTTGAACCAGAAGCATCTGTCTGCTTTAAGATACCTACACAATGTGTTGATGTTGTGTTTGATCAGAATCATCTGTCTATTTGATATATCCACACAATGTGTAGGTGTTGGATCAGAAGCATCTGTTTGGTTTAAGATGCCCACACAATGCGTAGATGTTGTGTTGGATCAGAAGCATATATCAGCATGTTGTAAGTCTGTTTTGATATACACACACAATGTGTAGATGTTGAACCAGGAGCATCTGTCTGCTTTAAGATACCCACACAATGTGTAGATGTTGAATCAGAAGAATCCGTCTGCTTTAGGTACCCACACAATAAGTAGATGTTGTGTTTGATCAGAAGCATTTATCAGCATGCTGTGTTTCTGATCTAAGATACATACATTCTGTGTAGATGTTAAACCAGAAGTATCTGTCTGCTTTAAGATACTCACACAATGTGTAGATGTTGTGTTTGATCAGAATCATCTGTCTGCTTTAAGATACCCACACAATGTGTAGATGTTGTGTTTGATCAGAAGCATCTATCATCATGTTGTAAGTCTGTTTTAATATACCCACACAATGTGTAGATGTTGTGTTGGATCAGAAGCATTTATCAGCACGTTGTACGTCTGATTTAAGATACCCACACAATGTGTAGATGTTGTGTCGGGTCAGAAGCATTTATCAGCATGTTGTATTGTCTGTTTTAATATACCCACACAATGTGTAGATGTTGTGTTGGATCAGAAGCATTTATCAGCACGTTGTACGACTGATTAAGATACCCACACAATGTGTAGATGTTGTGTTGGATCAGATAGGTCAAAGTACAGCCTTCAACACGGAGCCTTGGCTCTAACCGAACAGCAAGCTATAAAGGGCACCAAAATGACTTGTGTAAGACAATTCAAACAGGAAACCAACGGTCTAATCTATATAAAAAACGAGAAACGAGAAACACCTATGGACCACACCAACAAACGACAACCACTGAACAACAGGCTCCTGACTTAGGACAGGTGCATACAAATGCAGCGGGTTTAAACGTTTTAACAGGCGCCGACCTTCACCATAACCTTAGACAGTAGTGTAACATTACAACATAAAAAGACACACTATAAAATATCAATTGGAATGGCTTAACTCGGTCAAAAAGACATTAAAACAAAAACAAGTAAACATACACTGAACGAACAAGTTTGATCTATGACACAATATAAATACAATATTAAAACGTAGGTGCCTCTATAACATAGACGTTACAGGTAGCAATTAAAAAGATGTAGGAATAGTGTCAAAAAGACAACTCTAACCTGGGACAAAATGGCGTTAAATAAAACAATTTACACAGGTAAATTTAAATATAATAACTCTGTTGTTAGGAGTACGGAAGTAAACATTTTTAACAAAATAAATAAATTTGTTGTTCAGAGTACGAGTACAGAAGTGAAAATTTATCGTCAAACTAAATAGTTATCAAAGGTGGTACATATTAAAAATAGTGAGACGAGATATAACACAAAATAAGTAAACATTGAATTACAGAAATGCATTACAATTGTCTGTTTTAATATACCCACACAATGTGTAGATGTTGTGTCGGATCAGAAGTATTTATCAGCATGTTGTATGTCTTATTTAAGATACCCACACAATGTGTAGATGTTGGATCTGTTCGTACACTCTTCCTTAAAAATCTTCAACTCGGAAACTGCTCAATGGATTAAAATCAAATTTTGTCTGCTTCATCTGGAGGATGACAACTATAAAACGTGTGATTTTCTCCCAGGTTGGTCAACCAATATGTCCGCTGTGTCTAAAAATAGAACATTGGGGACAAACTACAGTTTTGGTTATTTCTCTCAAACTATTACAATTAACAAAAATTGACAAGGTAAAGCAGTCAGTACAACAAGTTCAATCCACATTGAAAATTTTGGAAAAATCAGTACTCTTGTTTTTTAAGTTATTGTCCCTGAAATGTTGATCTTCAACTATTTAGGTCATTTCCTTACCATTGTTTTAAAAGCTATAGGAGCTAGGTTAAAAATGTGAGTGCAAAAATTATCATTATAAAAAGATGTATTCAGGCTGGAAATTTGAGAAAAATCCAACAATTTGTTTAGGGTGTAATTGCCTCTGAAATACCGATCCCCCAAAAGTTTCAGCACAACATGATGTATCTACCATGGAAATTTGAGAAAAATCTGTCGACCTTTTATTGGAGTTATTGGACATGAATTGATCATTTTCTTTTTTGCAGTTGTCGGCTGTTATTGTGAAAATCACAGAAGATAGGTAAGAAGTGTAAATTGCAAAAATAATTTACACCACGACAAGATCTATTTACCCTGACACTTGGTGAAAACCGAGAAAAATTATCGTTTCTTTGCAGTTTTTGGCTGTTATTATGAAAAATGTAGGAGGTAGGTTGAAAGTGTCATTGCAAAAATTATCAGCACGACAAGATCTATTTACCCAGTCATTTTCAGAAAAATGTGTCATCCTGTTGTTGAGTTATTGTCACTGAAAAAGACATTGTAGTATGACGTAAATACTACACGGAAGTAATTAAGAATACAATTATACATTAAACTACATTCAAGGCCGTACACTCAACAGAGAGTCATATAGTAAATAATCATGGCTCAGCTAAAGCCTCTTCTGAACATTTGAAAGCCCCCACTATGTATTGGTTACCTGAATTACACAAAAAAAAACCGTCAAAAAGTGCTTTTAACGAGTTCTTTAACTGCTATCAAAGAACTGATAATTAATTTTGGTAATAAAACATATGAAAATAGTGGATGCTTTAGATAAATTACATTCTTTTGGTGGTCCTTTTGATTCGATTGACGGTTTTGACTTTTCCACTCTTTACATTACACTTCCATACAATATTATCAAGCAAAAAAAAAATTCCTATTTAATTAAATGGTCGTTCGATAAATTTGATTGCAAATTTATTTGCTGCAACTCATATAAAGCCTTTTTGTCAAACGAGATAGGTAAATACGCTAGATATACTTACTGGAGGTGTGATGAGATGATTAAAGCCTAATAAATGTTCTCCTTGACAACATTTATGTACGTTTCGGCAATAAAGTTTATGGGCACAAATTGTGTCCCTTTAATAGCAGACTTGTTCCTGTACTTTTGTGAATCACATATGGCCTGACTCAGTAAAGACCCGTCTAAATTTCATTTAATTGATAAATTCAACAACACTTGCCGTTATCTTGATGGTATTTTTTCGTTCAATAATAAAGAATTCTCTTAATATACTGCCGAAATTTACCGACAGGAACTTACCTTAAATAAATCAAATATTAACAGCAATAAGTGTTCTTTCATAGATTTAGACATTTCAGTTTTACACCAGAAATTCTACAAAAAATTGACGACAAAAAAAGGATAATTTTTCTTTCCCTATTGTTAATTTTCCTTTTTTGGACGGTGATGTTCCTCTGGCACCATCTTACGGTGTTTATATATCCCAACTCGTTCGTTATGCCCGTGTCTTTAGTGACGTTTCGGATTTCAATGGGCGTAATCTATATATTACTGGTAAATTATTTAATCAGGGATTTCGTTACCACAAATTACCTAAAACCTTTACCAAATTATTCCACAGATACAAAGATTTGGTTTGCAGGTTTGGATGTACTTGTAAAAACTTATTTCAGACGGAATAGCACATCCTAAATTTTACGGTGATGTTGTTTACTGAGCCCGGAAACTTAAA